GAGATGCTTCTGAAAGTAGGGGAAACATGAAGCAAAGGTAAAACTGGTAATTTATCTGCAAAGAGGGAGAGCGAGAGAGTGAACTGTAGGCAGGGTGAGTTAAACTATTCAGACATTGGGCCTTGTCCCACGTTAATTTTGGGTGGCTCCTGGAGCTCTTAACCTTGGATTGTCTGCACATTAACACCTTTCAGTAGCTTAAAGCACTCATGATATGGCTCAAGTTATGCCACTCCAGGGCAGGATTATCTCTGAGCCACACAACCCAGTTCCTGTTCCAGTAAGGTGTGGCCACTCCCCACAGATGTGGTGCTCAAGCTGAAGTCCTGCAGTATCCCAGGATGCAGTGGCCACTCCCCTATGTACCTTAGCTGCCGGCAGACTCCACTCCCAGCTGTAGAGTGAAGTCAACTTAGGGGTGGATCTGGCTACACCAGCTGTTCCTGCTACTCCAGCCCTCAGCTCCATTCCCAGACTCAGCCCTGTGCCCACTGCCACCACCTGTGCTGGTGCTCCTGGCTTCCCAGGGCTGCTGCCTGGGCCTTCCCCTTGCCCCAGGGCCTGGGGGTGTCTGTCTGCTCACCCCACTCACTGCTGGGCTGCCCCTGCCAGGCCTGGGTGGGGCCCAAGGAGGAGTGGGGGGGCAGAGTTAATGTGAGGCAGAGCTGAGTGGGGTTGGGGAGAGCTTAAGGCAGGGTGCTGAGAACAGCCTGTGGGACACATGTGCCTAGATGTGTCCAGATGCATCTGACAGCGAGCCAGGAGCATGTGGGCACCAAGAGGTTTGCTAGGTGTGATTGCTCCAAATTCCAAACTAGCACTAAGCTGATCAACATTTGTGCGACTCAAAGTACAACGTATAACAAGGCCAATATAGAAAAAAGGCCATTGAACAAAAGAAGTGATATGTATATATATGCATAAAATTATATAGAATGATGTAATCTAGTTGCTAGCGCTAGAGTTGAAATTGAAAAAATTGCTACTAATGGTTCAAAAAAATAACCCAGATAAATATTTATAATTTTCATGGGCAGGGTGATGGCAGATTGGAAAGAAACATTTGCAAAAGAAGAAATGACTGTGACAAGGAAAAATACCTTTTGGTACTGAAATCCAATTTGTTCCAAGTGAAGAGTCTTTGCTGCTCTTTTCTCTGCTACAAGCCAGGGTCTCATCCAAAACCAATTAAAATAAGTGGGAGATTGTGGACTGACTTAATTTTGGATCATGTTCCATATTAGTATGTAATTTTTCCCTTTATTTTGCTCTGAATATTATTCTCTTAAAATGAAAAAAGTAAGATAGTTGCTACATACTATCTTGTGCTACAGTTCCTAAGCATCTTGCTTTCTGGTTCCTTGAGGAATCATCCTGTGTGAATAGCTGCTTTTCTTGCGGGATGTGGGAAAAGTGTGTGCGAGAGAGAGAAACAGAATCACCGTTAAGGAATTTCTCTTTGGAAACAGAGGGTCATCTGATTTTGTGTTGCTGTTAACATAATTAGGAATGGGACTTGTACCAGAATGTAATTCCTCTGAGACTAAGTCTAAGGTTTTGTTTCAGATTATGTTTTATAGTTGGCAAGAATAAAAATGGATTATGAGTTTCATGATGATGATTTTTTTTCTTTTTACTGGTGCAGTCATAAAAGGTGGAGGTGGAAGCTTGTATCATTCACTTGAAGATAAATCATTGTGCTTTATTGTTCCTGATTTTGAATAGTCATACGTTTTCTCTCCCCTCAATAGCGTTTATTATGAAATAACTCGGGATAAATTTTATCAACCATTTTTTGGTTGATCTGCTAGTTTCTGAATACAGAAGATAACTCAATAATATCCTAAATTACCCCATTAACCTTCAGGAGTTGGCATTCCAAACCAGCACCGAGATTTTATTAGCAAACACAGTTGGTTACAGACTAATACCATCTGACATTGCATATAACACTCCCTCCAAAGAATCTTTAATACATGGCATTAATCACCAATGACAAACCTTTAACCTTTTATAGCCTCCTTTAAATTAATGAAAATTAAGTGTTATAGAATGGCAAATTACTTTGATTACTACTCCTGATAGCCAATCTGCCGAACTCAGTTCTATTGTGTTCACATGTCTGTGACATTATAATGTCTTAACATAACGTATTTAAAAAAATGAAAAGCCAGTTTGGATATTCAGGCCCATATTTTCAAACAGGCTTGTATTCAGCATAGCCATCTATCACTGGTAATAAAGGCTTTTGTATGTGAGAACTTCATAATTGCTGAAGGATTTGATTCCCACTTCAAGGAATTGGGACATTGGCATATATAATGTTTTTAAAAAATATACACCTTCTTCTGCTATTTTAAGGAAACAATGTGCATATTGATTCCATTTTACATGTATAAAGCAGACCTCTCCAGGTCACATATAAAGTCTGTATGACCTGGAAGCTGAAACCAGTTTTCATGAGTCCCAGTTTAGAGGCTGGTCCACTGATACTCTATAAAGAAAAATACATTCATGCAGATCAGGTTGTACACCAGATATTTGCCCTCAAACTTCAGCTTGTGTGTACACAACTATGTACTTCCTGACATTACAGGCTTTCCTTAATTCAAAACCTCTACTTCTGTCCTCAGTAACTGTTAATCTAATCTAAAACATAAACATCACTCCAGTCTGCAACTATACATACACTGTCTTTTCACTCTGTTCCACCAAAATACCTATAATGTGGACACCAAAGAATGATACTAACCTCTGCACAAACTGGTATGGTAATAATGCATGCAACCATCTATACTGCTTATCCAGAGGAATACTATGCTAGTTGCTTTTTGTTCTGTCTTGAGTAGGAGCATAAAGGGAAGTGATTTAACAGAGTTTAAAGCAGCCCAGGCATCTTTGTTGCTTTCTACACTGCATGCAACTGAGGAATGATTTAGATCAGTAAGCATCCAGTCAAAGTTATCTCTGCGTGCTGGGCAGGATTGTAGTGGAAAAAGTAATTGCTCTGTTGCAGCTGTGACAGTTGCATTTCTGGTTTATACTGGCATTGTATTGGTGCAGAATGGTAAAATACAAACTGCAGTGGCAGTGCATCTAGCTGGAAAATCAGCGCCAATAATTAACTGCTAGTGCAGTGCTGTGGGTGGTGATAATGAAAGCCGTAATGTAGGTTGGACTAAAGAAATCTTCCCCAGAGTGTCATGTGACCATTGGTTGTCTATTGTGAGTACTGATTTTCCTATCCTAGATATGCCTGCTCATAACTGAGACCACTTGGGCACTGTTGGGTGAGGTTTTTTTTGTAGATATGAGGTACTGTTACAGGTTTGGACCTTGTTCAATATAATGTAAATATACATGTTCTAGTTGCACAGTTGATTTGCAGGATGCAGGACTTTTGTCCATAATTAGCAGTTGCTAGAAGATGACCATGAAGAAGAAGAAGAATTGTAAAAGGGATCAATAATAGCACGGCTGAAATTATTTTAAATCATCATTTGTATTTGTCTTACTTCAACGCCTAATGGCTTTAGTCATGGGTGAGGACCTTATGGTGGCAGATAACAGACAAGCATGTGGTAGAGTGATGGTTCTGCCTCAAGGAGTTTACTGTTTAAGTATAAAACAATAGGACAACAGGCTGAATAGTAGGAAAGAAACAGTGAGATCATGTTGGTTATCACGATAGTCACAAAGGCTGTAGACATGTTCATATTTCTCAAAATGAAATGGGAAATCTAGAAGATTACAGTGACATTTCTTTTGGTCATTCTCTTCTGGGGGGTGGGGATGTAGGGGGGATATTGATGTTCTCCATGGTGTTGCATGTCTGCCTACTACACTGATGTGTGAAAAGTCTCTCTAGACTGCTTGTTGCAATGTTCTACTTCAGGCTTTGTGGCTAGAGTGTTATTTCAAATTATGCATCAGACACCTGATGATACTATGGTAGGAAACCCTGTGACTCAAAATTGCATTATCACAGCATAAAGATGGGTGGAAAAATGAGGAGGTACTTGATGCTATAAAAAAGTGGGAAAGATGATATTTAGATTGGGACTACTGTACACAAGTAACATTTCGAGCTAGCTTACGGGACAAGGGTTTGAGTAAAGGCTCAAGGCAAAAGTCAGAGCTCAGACTGGTCTGATAGGTATGAAAACTGGATTATATAAATCTCATAGGACTTTCCATTCTTTCCAGGACTCTGCCATGGTGGGCTTCAAATATGGTTTGGAAAATAAGCACCTGCTCTAGAATCAAAACCTAATGCAGGCTTGGGTTTCTGATATTTGATTCTGTTCGGGAGTTGTTCCAATTCATAATTCATAAGGGACCTCGTGAGATCATTGGGTTCAGCCCCCTGCCCAAAGGGCAGGAAGTCAGATGGGGTCAACAAGACGGGCATCCAAGCATTTCTTAAAGGTATTCAGAGTAGGTGCTTGCACCACTTCTGGGAAAGAGCCTATTCCAGACTCTGGAGATTTGGACGGTAAAGAAGTTTTTCCTTATGTCCAGTCTAAAATGGTCTCCCAGAAGTTTGTGACCACTAGATCTTGTCTTCCCTTGGGGTTCTCTGGTAAACAGATGTTCTCCCACCTCGTGATGCACACCCCTTATATACTTATAGGCTGCTACCAAGTCACCCCTGAACCTTGGCTTCTCCAGGCTGAAGAGTCCCATGCCTCTCAACCTCTCCTCATAAGGCCTGTTCTCTTGACCTTTGATCATGTATGTGGCTCTCCTCTGGACTGTCTAAAGCTTCTCTACATCCTTTATGAAGTGTGGAGCCCAGAACTGGATGCAGTACTCCAGCTGTGGCCTGACCAGTGCTGCATAGAGGGGAAGCATCACCTCCTTGGACCTGTTTGTCATGCATGTGCTAACGCATGATAAACTGTGGTTAGCCTTGTTGATCACTTTGTTCCATTGATGACTCATGTTCATCTTGGAATCAGCTGTGACTCCAAGATCCCTTTTCACTGCTATGCTGCTGAGAAGGTCATTCCTCAGCCTGTAAGTGTGTTGGTGGTTCTTTTTGCCCAGGTGCAGCACTTTGTACTTGTCTTTGTTGAACTGCATCCTATTTTGTTCTGCCCATTTTTCCAACCTGTCCAGATTCGCCTGGATCTGTTCCCTACTCTCTGGTGTGTTAACTTTGTCCCATAAATTGTTATCATTTGCAAACTTGGACAGGGTGCTCTCCACACCCTCATCCAAGTCACTGATGAAGACATTGAATAGCTCTGGTCCAAGGACTGAGC